TATGGAGTGAGCAACATGTGCAAGGGAAAATAGTGAACAAAATTAATACAGTAGTCAACAGTGATGAATTGAACATACCTGAAAAAAAAAAAAGGTATACAAAGGTGGAGTAAGACTAGAAGGTAAAATTAGGATGAAATGCTGTGATGTACTAAGGAACTAATTAACGTTGAAATAAGCTAGACATGCTTAGACATGTATTTTAGAAAAAAAATATTAGTGGAAATGGAAAAGATAGTTTGAGGCATAGGGAGGTGCTGGGTTTAAAAAAAAAACCACTGAAGCAGTAAAACAAACTGGGTTAAGATATGAAACATTAAAATGATACATGGCACAAAACATAACCAACTAATGTGGCTATTATTATTATTGTTTTACAATTATTGTAAGTACAGTAAGAGACCATAAAGTTCTGAACTAGTACTGCAGATAAAGAGTATGAAGTCAGTTTGAAAATAAGAGCAGAAAATGAATTTTCAGCAGGGACGCCAGCTGAAAAGGCAATAAAGCCAGCTTGTCTGATTTTTTTTCCCCCTTAGGACTCCTCTAGCCTTTCTAGGCTCTTCAACTGGGGAAAGAAGCTGAGAAGAGACGCATGTTTCTGCTCTTTACACGGAACATAGATATCGTCTCACTATCACAATGCTGTTGCTGCTGTTGAGCTCATTACATGCAAGGCTCAGTGCTAACCACCAAGGAAAGCAGACAATAAATAAGAATATAGTCCATGAAGCTTACACTTAAGTAAGGTAGACAAATATTGAATAAGTAAATCAGGTGTTGGCTAACTATGGCCCACAGTTTTTGGTTTTGTTATTTTTTTTGAGTTGTAGTCTCACTCTGTTGCCCAGGCTGGAGTGCAGTGGCAAGCTTACAGCCACTGCCACCTCAACCTGCAGGGCTCAGGAGATCCTTCTATCTCAGCCTTCCAAGTAGCTGGGACGGCAGGTGCACACCACCATACCTGGCTAATTCTTTTATTTATTGTAGAGACGAGGTCTCACTGAATTGCCCAGGCTGGTCTTGAGCCCCTGGGCTCAAGCAATCCTCTCACTGCTGTCTGCCAAAGTGCTAGGATTACAGGTGTGAGCCACTGAGCCCAGCCCATAGTTTTTATGAATTGTTTTTGTAAATAAAGTTTATAACCAAGGTCATTTTAGGCATTATCTATGGCTATCTTGCTACAATAGCAGAGTTGAGTAGTAACAGAGATTGTGTGTCCTACAAAGTCAAAAATATTTACTATCCACACATTAGTTAGTCAAGCCTCTAAAACTGACCACTAATTAATCTTAATTGTGATAAGTATGACAAAGAGGAAGCTAATTAGTATGAAGTAACAGGGAAATCCCCCTTAAAAAGTGAAAGATGAGTGCCACTGCTCCCCCCATCCCCTGCAAAAAAGTGAAAGAAAAGATCCATCCCATAGGAAGACTAAAAGAAACAGTGTTACATAAAAGAGCTAAGGTGGGAAGGAGCATAATACATTTCAGGAACCAAAAAGGTGAGTGTGGCTTGAGTACAGTGATAAAATAAAAAAGGCAGGCACAGGTTAGATGATGCAGTCTCACAGGCCACAACATAGATTTTATATCTTTATTCAAAGGGCAATAAACAACTATTGAAGGCTTAGTATAGAGGAGTGACATGAGTAGATCTGTGCTTTTCTGTTTTGAGTCAGGGTCTCACCTTGTCGCCCAGGCTATAGCGCAGTGGCATGATCACAGCTCACCACAGTCTCAAACCCCTGGGTGTAAGTGATCCTTCTGCCTCAGCCTCCTGAGTAGCTGGAACTACAAGCATATACCACGATGCCTAGCTAAATTTTTTATTTTTGTAGAGGTAAGATTTCACTATGCTGCCTAGGCTGTCTCGAATTCCTGAGGTCAAACAACCTCCCACCTTGGCCTCCTAGTGCCAACGCCAAAAAGAAAAAAAGAAAGTTCCTATAACATGACATATAAAACTGGCTGGACGGCTAAACAGTACACGGGGAGAGCAGAAAGAAAGAGAAGGTAAGGGAAGAGAAAATTAGCTCAGTTTAAGTTTCAAGTGTCTAAAAATAAAATGGAGATGTCCACTAAGAGGTGGTATACAGGACAGTTATTCAGTAAAAAGGCTGGGATGAATTTTTTTGTGATGTCTCAATAGTGAAAGTTTTGCTTAAATAATAATAAAAATTGGAAAATAGTATTATAGATTATATCCATTTACTTTTATGTCTGGGTTAAACAGATATAGAAAAATGGACATTACCTATAGGAAAAGAGAAAGAGAAAAGAAGACACAAAAAATGCAAAAAGATTAAGACATAATATATATAATTGTAGATATATCTATATCTGCTTTACTGTTTTTCATGAGACATCGCTGCTATGTTTAACTGAACCTGAGCAAACAAGACTGCATGCAGAAGCATTTTCATTGTGTACAGGTGCTCAACAAAAACATGGATTCCAGCTAAAAAATAGTCTCAAAAAATGATGCCTGAATAAGGTTCTAAATCACTCATCATGTTAATCAGGCACCCCAATTAATCTCCTTATTTATTTATTTATTTATTTTGAATCAAGAGTCTCACTCTGTCGCCTAGGCTGGAGTGCAGTGGTACAATCCTGGCTCACTGAAACCTCAACTACCAGGTTCAGGCAATCCTTCTGTCTCAGCCTTCTAAGTAGCTGGAACTACAAGTGCGTAGAGACATCTTGCTATGTTGCCTAGGTTGGTCTCGAACTCTTGCACTCAAGCAGTCCTCTTGTCTTAGCCTCCCAGAATGCTGGGATTATAGGACCGAGTCAATGTGCCTGACCTCCTTATTTTTTTTTTTTAATTTTTAATTTTTGAGTTGGAATCTCACTCTGACATCCAGGCTGGAGTACAGTGGCAGGCTCACGGCCACTCTATCATAGACCTACTGGGCTCAGGTGATCCTTTTGCCTCAGCCTTCCAAGTAGCTGGAACTACAGGCACGTGCTACACGCCTGGCTAATTT